TGGGTCCTTCTAGCTCAGGAAGCTAGCTTTCAGTCATCTCAGGGATTTCCACCAAAGTTGCTTTTTCATCTTGGGACTTTTTGCCTCTTTGCTTATTTTTTTCCTCAAGTCTTTTTTTTTTTCTCATTTTTCTTTATTCTTTGATTTTAATTTTTCTAACTTAAAATTTTTCTTTCTCACTTTTCCCTTTTGTTTATTTTTTTTCCTATTTTCTTATTTTTCACAATTCTTTAATTTTTCTCAATTTCTTTGTTTTTGTCTTTTTCTCATTTTTTATTTTATTTTTCTCACTTTTTTCTTTATTTTCAATTTTCCTTTCTCTATTCCTTTTTTTTCTCATTTTTTTCTTAATTTTAGGAGTGGGTACTGAGCAAAATATACAACATTCCCTTCTTCATATCCATGGAGTATGAAAACATGCTCAAGAGATTCCTCATCCCTCAACTTTCTCAAGGGAGACCCTTTAGGGGAAATCATGAAGGACCCACAGATGATCACGGGCTGTTGTGAGGAGGAACTAATGCCTTACACAAAGCCACTCCCTGATAACAAGGACCCTGGGTAATCTGAGTTGATGGTGTACATGAGCTACACATGCAAAGGGATCCAGGACTTGTAGGTGGGCCACAATATGAGGTGATGATCACCTGTGTGCTTCTGGCTACAGGAGATCCGAGCTAGAGAACTACAACATCACTGTGAAGCTCCCTTCTTCTGTTGATCCCACCAACAGCTACTTTTCTTGCCCAGCCTGCAAGGTACAGCACAAGGTCTTTGCCAACAGGTGCCTGACCACCAGAATTCATTTGGTGGTGCTACCCTAGGCATCCCCTCTGGCAACAGCCAGAGCTGGCAGGGACCATTGGGAAGGTAAAAGTCCTTCACCTTCATCTGCAACTGTGTTTCTGCAACTGGTCAGCCAGAAAGAACTTCCCTGGACTTCCCTGGCCAATGCTTATCAAACACCTGCTTGCCTCTTGCTAATGTACCACTGGCCAAAGCAAATCACATGGCCAAACCTAGAGTCAACATGGGAAAGGATCACACAGGGACAAGAGTACTGGGAAGCATGACTCACTGGGACCACCAGCGTAACAGTTAACTATGTATTGCTACATAACAGAGCAATAGACTCAGAAAATCCAACAAAAATGCTCTTGATTATAGGGTTCATAGCTGAACTCTATACATAGGAGCAGAAGAGGAAGCAGGATTCCACGCCTTAAGTGTGGAGACTGAAGGTATGCCCATTGCCATTGTCCATGGTGTTGCATTGACCACATTGCACTGACCACAGAGGGCTGTAGTCATCCTGTGCCATCCCGAGCCATGACCCCCAGGAATGCAGGGTCTGATTTAGAATGTTCAAGTGTCCTGCCAATGCCTCATGTTTCATCACTGGGAACACAGGAGCCTACTGTGATAGAGGGTGACAAATCTGTTGAGGTCACGCCAGTAGGAGACATTGCTTTTTCACACCAATATGGAGGACAGCATCTAGCTTGGCATTGCACAAGTGTGGGTCTAGGGTAGCTGTCAGCTGCTTGACTGAACCTTGTTGACTTGGGAAATAGGGATTTGGATGTGGGCCATTTTTCCCTTCTATATCTTTCAAATCTCATCCTAACTGCACTTGGCCAGGGAAGTCCCCTCGACTCCATTGGTTTTAATTCACAGCCATATCCTTCCCCACTTTTCTTTATTCTGATATGCATTACTCTTACTGATTTAATGTCTGCATTCCCTTTGGCCTCAGCTCTGATACTAGAGGAATCATGTAGTTTGCTTATCACTGAATCTCCAGTGCCACCACCATGGATGTTGAAATTGCAAATTGAAAAAGCCTTTCCTTTCTTACCTTCCACTGCCTGTCCCTTCCCATGAATTGTCCTTTACCTTTGAAACTGCTGACTAAGAATCAGAAGGTCGATGACCTCCATTGCTCTGACCAAGGCCCAGGTGAGAACTCTGTTGTAAGAAGCAGTAGCCACAGATGTGGCACTCAGCAGGAATAATGTGACCCTTGCCCTTCGACATACTCATGTAACACAGATGTCAGCCAGGCCCTAACCTCTTGTCCTTTGAGAGTTAAATGACACTAGCTCAAACCCCCATTCCCTGGGTAATCAGGTTGCCAGCCAAGTTCCCAATCTCAGTGAAGATTCTTGAAAGTCAGACATTTCAGTGTGTCACCTCAGACTGTGACATTTTTATTCCAGTGACCTCTGGATCTTTCTCCCTTCTTTCATATTTTAGCTGTCCCTTCTCACTCTCCTGAATCTACCTAGAGAGACTTGGCTACTTTACCTTTAGCACTCATCTGAGGCCATTATGTTTCTTATGAAGATTCAAGGTGTAAGTGGGGACTATGTCAGAGAATAACACAGAAAGCAAAAAGAGTCAGACATAGTTCATCTTGAAGACTTTTGCTGCCTCCTCTCCTGGGACCCACCCTGACTGAGGAAGGGCTCTGCTTTTCTCTTTCGGTAGCTCCACACCCAGCTCGCTCTCGGGCCCCTTTGCTCCTCTTCAACTTTCTCTTCTCCAGTCTGGGTCACCAACTCCACCCTGCCTACTCAAAAAAAAAGCAAACTCTCATTTTTTTGAGTCTTTAAAAGGATTCCTTTTTATTTCTATTTTTAAGGCAGTTTTCCAACTTTACTGTGGTATAATCAAAGTACACTCAATTGCACATGTTTAAAGTGTGCCATTCTATTAGTTTTGACATACATACACCCATGAAACCATGGCCCCCTCAAACAACATTTCCACCACCCCCTGAAGTTTCATTTTGTCCTTTTTCATCCATTTCTCCCTCCATCACATCCCTAAGCAACCATTACTATGCTATCTCTATTTGTAGATTAGCTTGCATTTTCTAGAGTTTTGTATAAATGGAATCATACAGCATGTTCTCTCTCTCTTTTTGGAGGGAGGAGTGGGAAACCTAGTTTTTCCAGTATAATGATTTTGAGATTCTTCAGTATTGTGTGTATTAATTTGTTTTTATTGCTGAGCAGTATTCCATTTGCAGATATATCACATTTGTTTATCCACTCATCTACTGGTGGGTTGTTTCTGGTTTGGGGCTGTAACAAACCTCCTAATAACATTTATGCATAAGTTTTGGGTTTTATACTTTAATTTCTCTTTGGTAAATACCTAGGACTGGAACGGTTGGGTTCTACAGTAGATATGTTTAACTTTTTGAGAAACTGAAATTGATTTCCAAAGTGGTTGTACTGTCTTAGGCTCCTACCATCATTGTATGAGAGTTTCAACTACTCTATATCTTCACCAGCATTTGGTAGGATCGTTCACTTTAAATTTAGTCATCTCATGGTTTTGTCTGTTTTAATGCACAGGGGTTTTGCTGCCTCTTAACTTTATCACTACCAAAGACGAACATATGCTTAAGTTTATAAGGAATAAAACCAGATTATTCCAGATGCCTGTTGTGCCAGTGAAGTTAATAGTGTCCCTTTTTATGCTTCAAAGTGTCCTGGTTTGTATAATAAAATATGTGGTTTCTCTATTTCTGATCTAACTGGCCATGCCCCCAAGGCTGTCCACTCACAGCCACAAAGGCTCATCAAGGCATTCTTCTCACCAAATCTTTTCCCTCCTCTAAAAGGGTAGTCCCCCACCTACACCACCCCAGCGTTTCTTACACATTTTTTCCTTATCACAAAAGCATTATAGGAGAAAAGGAGTGGCATAATGTAGTCTAGTGCTGGTGTAAAGTGGCAAGTGAAAGCGATGATGGAGGGAGTCAGACCCAGTCTTGATGACATCATTCGAGTTAGATGCAGCCAACCTTGATGTAAGGTCTATTTCTTAATTTTTTGGCACAAGAACCTGGAAATACCCATTTTTTGTCTAAGCTAATTTGACTTGGCTTTCTGTCACTTGCAATTAAGAGTGCTGACTCTTAAAGTATACACAGTAGGGTAATGTGCCTCAAAAAGGCAATAGCATTTTGCTAACCCTTATTTAACTGCCTTTCATTTCACATCTGAAGTATCTTCAGCCTTCCTTGAGCATTACAATTTTTGCTGACATTAGCTCCAGGAATTTAAAGCAGAAGCATCGGTCACATTGGTTGGGGATGAAACTTCAGAGTACACTGAATGCTCAGGGTCAAAGTATTCAACAGTATCACAAGATGGTTTGTTTAATCGAATACTCTAGCTCCCTGTATCCAATGTAATACAGCAGGCTCTTTAATCTTTAACTAAATTGTCATTTAGTAGCATGATCCAACAACTTCTGAATTTTGGTAAGCAGCCACAATTTCCAACTAGCATTTCCTTCCTTCTTAATGACTAGATTTAATAATTACAGAAACATACCTATAACTCAACTTACACATGAGCAATTCTGTGACTTCTGTGAGCATGTGATGTACACTGTGTCTTTGTAGCACAAGTTACTAGATGTTTGAGGACCTGCCTGTGAGCAGTGCCCAGGTAATACTCCAGTGGAAGAAAGGAGGCTGAAAGTGGGGGTCAGAAGTTTAAAATATCCCATTCAGTCCCCCCTTGAACATTCTCGACAGACCTAATTGGGAGGCCCGTGACCCGCAGGGATTCCTTCCCCAAAGGAGTTCCTTGGCCCTGACCCACGCCCCAAAGACACACTAAACTCGGTCTGGTGGTCCAGTAGCGTCTACACCCCTGGACTCCCCTCTCCTCTGTGGGACTCCGTTGCCGAAAAGCAGCTGGGCAGGTCTCACTTAAGGCGAGACTAAACAGCCTCCGTCCCACGCAACAATCCTTTGGTCCCGAGTAGCAACCCAGGCTCCAGGAGCGGCAGACGCGAGAACAGCCTCCCCAGGACCGGCCACGTAGCTGCGTGTTCAGCCCCTCCCCTTCAGGCCCTAAGTCCCGCCTCCGCGTTCCAGAGGGCCCGCCCCCGCCAGGGCCGCGCTCTCGGGCTTCGTCCCCACCCCACGCTTCCAGGACCGCCCCCGCGCAGCATGGCCCCGCCTCTCACACACCCGAGTCGCGCACTGCGCCCGCTCGTGTCCCGGGTCCCTGTCCCGTCCCCACCCTCTCTGGGTCGGTTCTCCAGGCCGAGGCTTTGCTCCCGGGCTCCGCCCCCACGTGCCCTCGGGAGTCCCGGGGAGGAGCTGCCGCGCGGGAGGAGGCGTGGCCGTGGTGCAGGCAGAGGCGCGGGCGGCGCGGCCGGGACTTTGGCTTTGACACCGACAGGGAGCGGGAGTCGTGCGCTGCTGCCTGCTGCGGACGCGATCCCGGCGGATTCCGTGTCCAAGTCGGGAGCAGGACTTTTTGCCTAGATCAACGCAGCTGCAGCAACGCGGCAAGTACTGGTGCAGCCTCAAGACTTGGTGCAGCCGCGGCCGCCGGATTCGCCGCTGCTGCCGCCTCCGCGCAGCCCTGCAGCTCCTGCAGCTCCTGCGTGCTTTGGTAGAGAGACCCAAATAGTTTCTCCCGCAGGAAGAGCTGGGACGCGCGGCCCGAGGCAGCGTGGGAAGGCCCCAGAGGCCACCCCGGGGACCCGCACCCGCCCGGGCGCCACGGCTGGAGGCAGTGGGCCCGCGCTGTCCCAGGCTGGGCTCAGGCTTCTGAGCCGCAGGTGGAAGAAGGACGCCCTGGGGGAGCGGCCGACAGGTAGGGCGGGGAACCTTCCTTATGTTGGGGTCTATAAACGCCTTCTAGGGGGCGCGCACTAGTGGGGACGGATTTCCCAAGTTGTAGGCGGCGCTAAGTGTCAGGCGCGGGGGCGTCGGGGATGCCCCTTCCTTTCTGCCAGAGCCCAGGTGAGGGCAACCGAAGGAGAGCCCCAGCGCTTCCCAGAGTTGAGAGAGGCAAGGACAGGAGGTGTGAACTTATGATATCTACAGGGATAGGTTTCTTTCCAATAGAAGCAACGCATAGCCTTTTTGGACCCCAATGTGATAAAAATCTCCCGCCCCAAAGGAGAACCCACACGGGCCAGCCTCATTATGTGTTCGTGTTCAGGGGTCCACGGACCCAGGAGTCCTGGTGAAGACCTCCAGCCCTAGGTAGGGAGTGCTAATGTAAACTGATGAGCTGATTCAATTGATCTGTGTGTTTATTAATTTGTTTTCCAGGCGGCCAAGTTTGAAAGGTACTTTTGGACGTTTTGGGCATGGAGCTTTAGTGTTTATCTATGGTAACCGTTTTGTTCCCTAAGTCCTGGGCTTTCCATTCTTCTGTGCCTGTAAGGTCTGCTGGACTTTTTCCCTAGCCAGAAAGTTCTTCTGCGGTGGTGAGGCCTTTCTGGGCCCCTGATCTTGGCCGGCCATGGGGAGCACCCTGGGCTGCCACCGCTCCATACCCCGGGACCCCTCGGACCTGTCCCATAGCCGCAAGTTCAGCGCGGCCTGTAACTTCAGCAACATCCTTGTAAATCAGGAGCGGCTCAACATCAACACGGCCACAGAGGAGGAGCTGATGACCCTACCCGGGGTGACTCGTGCGGTGGCACGCAGCATCGTGGAGTACCGCGAGTACATCGGTGGCTTCAAGAAGGTGGAGGACCTGGCACTGGTCAGTGGCGTGGGCGCCACCAAGCTGGAGCAGGTCAAGTTTGAGATCTGCGTGAGCAGCAAGGGCAGCTCTGCGCAGCACTCTCCCAGTTCCCTGCGGCGGGACCTGCTGTCTGAGCAGCAGCCTCACCACCTGGCCACCGCAGTGCCCCTTACCCCGCGAGTCAATATCAACACGGCCACCCCAGCTCAGCTCATGAGTGTGCGAGGCGTCACAGAGAAGATGGCTGCCAGCATTGTGGACTACCGCCGCGAGCATGGGCCCTTCCGCAGCGTTGAGGACCTGGTGAGGATGGGTGGCATCAATGCCGCCTTCCTGGACAGGATACGGCACCAGGTATTTGCGGAGCGGTCCAGGCCCCCATCCACCCACACCAACGGGGGCCTGACCTTCACCGCCAAGCCTCACCCCAGCCCCACCTCACTGAGTCTGCAGAGTGAGGACCTGGACCTGCCGCCAGGGGGGCCCACACAGATTATCTCCACTCGTCCTTCAGTGGAGGCCTTTGGAGGCACAAGAGATGGGCGGCCCGTGCTGAGGTTGGCCACTTGGAACTTGCAGGGCTGCTCCGTGGAGAAGGCCAACAACCCAGGAGTGAGGGAAGTGGTGTGCATGACGATCCTGGAAAACAGGTGAGGAACAGGAACCACCAAAGGTGTTGGGCATGAAGGCAGCTCTTGCATGGCTTCCTCTGTGCATGCAAATAAGTGGACTTTTTGGGGTAGGGAGAGGGCAAGAGTATTTAATCAGTGTTCTTGAGGCCCCAGCCAATATTGTCACCTGTTGCTGAGCTCTCTTTTTGCTCCAGAATTTTCTGAATGCAGGCATCTGGGCTTGTGGCCTGTATCTTGAATGTGGTATATCTGAGATCGATTCATAATCTTGGGGTAAATGGAGATTGTGTTGTGTTACTGCTTTGGAGAATGTTGTTTGACTCACAGGACTTCATGGGGTTTATACCAGATGAAGCACTCAGGGACTGGGAGCTGTTGTATAGGTTTGCATGTGAGAAGCTAACTGGATTTTTTTTTAACATGGAAGGAAAAGCCACATTTGCTTCTCCAAATATGCCTGTTTGTGTGCACAGAATCATCTTAAAGACCAGGTGTTTGCAAACACATCCACCGTGTATATTTACCAAAATGCTGTGAATGAATCACTCTTCATTCTTTTTCCTTATAAAACCCTAAGTTGTTTTTCAGGCGCACAGTTGCAGCCTCAAATGTATGTAATCTTTCCTGTCCCAGAGCGAGAGAAGGTCAAGCTGACATATAGTGAAGATTCACCAGATTTTCCCATTGAACCACAGAAGAGTCTTGTAGAATGGGCTCTTATCTCAGAGTGTTTACATTGTTCACAACACTGCTCTCTGCAGGAACTTCCGTTACCCACCCCCCATAAAACAAAACAGTATTACTATAGCAGTAACACCTGCTTTTAGTAAAATAGTGTATTGCATAATGTAGTCAGTTTGGGGAAGGAAATAAATATTTCTAACGGCCCCTTCTAGGTCAGAAATACCCTGATCCTGGACTTGGGGATTTTGCCCTGCCACCCACCAGAGGTGTGATATGTTGGTGGCCACTCGCTGCTTTCCTGTGCACTGGGGTTTGTGAGGCTGGGGGGGCAGCAGTTGGTGACATGAAGTAAGGTCTCAGCAGGGAACCACAGTGCACTGTGGCAGAGCTTCAGGATAAATGAGCGAGGAGAAAACCAGGTCACAGTGTTTCCCTGGTGCTGTCCCAGTGGCACACCCTTTTCACTGAGGATTGAGGGACAGTGCACCAGGTCAGAGAACTGGGCCCGGGAGCTCCTGAGTGCTCTTCCTGCACCACTGTGTTCACTGTTTTGCACCATAACTCCTTTAAAAACCATCTTGGATACAGTTGAGAACAGGGTTCAATCCTGGATGATGTTAGGAATGGCTTGATGATTATTCTCCTCATCCACAGCAGCGTGGTCATATGTATGAGGGAGGGGAGGGGAGAGAAGGGAGGATGGCTGATAATTCCTATCATGAGTTTTCTTAAGGCTCCATTTGGGGGTTGGAGGAGGATGAATCAGGACCTGAAGTTGCCCCAGTGGGAGTGGCAGACTGGACTGCTCTTGCCCATTTACTATGACAGTGATGCTCCAGGTGTGCTCTCTGGACCAGTATCACCATCAGCTACTGACTCAGAAACACTGGGTTTCAATGTTTGCACATGCCCTCTGGGTGGTTCTGCTGCACACTAAAGTTTGAATAATGCTGTACTCTGCATGTGGCACTCAGCTTCCCGTGTGGGTTGCTCTGTGAAGGGCCTTCCCCTGTGCTGGCTTTTCTGACAAGATCAGTGAATCCATGCAGAGCTTTCCAGATACTATGTTTTCTTTAACTGTCTGATCATCCCACATAATGTTCTTTCTGGCTAGACCTTAAGGAATTAATTCAGCTTCTAGAGCAGATGAACGTGGAGAGTAGAAAACGGGAGAGGGAACAGGGGACAGCTGGCCTCAGAGGGGGCTCCGCTGTGCAGCGCCAACCTGGTGCAGCCAGGGACACACTGAGGAGGAGTGCTGGCCACTCATGTGCAGCATTGGGGTTCAGATTTATCCTAGTATTTCATCTTTGAATTTCCGGGAGGGATGATGATATGCTGAAGATGTGTGACTGCGGTCCTCAGGCGAGAGTGCTGGAATTGCTTACCCAAGCCCAGCAAGATGGAGCAGGGAGCACCCGTGAGTACCCAGGAAGGGGACCTATGGGCTCATCACTTTTCTCACACTTGACGGCATCTGTTGTCCTGTGGGTTGGTGGATCCTTTTGCTTGTTTACAATGTGTTTAATGTTCTGAGCTCTCCTAGCACCTTGTTAGTGTCTGGTAAACATAAACTAATAGGCTTAGGGCCTTATCTCCTGCAAAGCTGTAGTGGGTCCATTTGCCTGTGTGACTGTTCTAGGGCATCAAAAGATGGCTGGCTGTAATGAAGTGGATTACATGTCCTCAAAACAGTAGTACACATTCCCCAAGAGTTCTGTGTTCATCCTGATTCACAAAAATCTCTTCCATTCCAATTGATCCTTGTGTTAGTAAGAGGAAATGCATTTAGTTTGAACTAGAACGGATACAGGTGATTTTCTGGATTGTTATTTTCATACACGCTTATATATAATACGAGAGTTACCTGACTGTTGGATATGCCTTCATATTTTCCAGTAGCTTTCACATAATTTGATTTCCCAGTAACTGTAGGAAGCAGGTAATGCTTGCTTTGATTAATGATTCTCCATCCCTGGGTGAGGAAACAAAAGCCAAAGAAGTTAAATGACTTGCCTCCATTCCCCAGTTCATTAGTGACTCAGCTGGGACCAGGACCTAGACTTTAGATCCGTGCTCTTTGCAGGCATGCCGTGTTTTGAAAGCATGTCCCCTTTACCCTGCCTCTGGTTCAGGCATCCCAAGCTTGGCCTCAGAAACGGCACTTGCCAAATTGTGTACTAGTCACATTTTCTTAAATCCATTGTGACGGTGTTAAAAAAAAAACTCTTGACTCCACCTCTTTTATGCTAAATTGGTGAAATTGCTTAACTTCTCCAAGTCTCAGTTTTTCCATCTGTTAAATGTAGCTAACAAGGAAAAAATAAAAGAAGTGAAGAAAAAGGAACCCTTGGGTACTTCTTTTGCCAGGGGGAACAGCTGGCCTTTTTCCCCTCTTTGTGGGTTTGTTGTAGTAGCTGTGTTTTCTTAGACTGGAGGGTGCCTGTGTGGGATGCAAAGGCTGGAGTCCATTCTTAACCTGAGTGGCTCGTTGCTGAATCGGTAGATAAGCGTAAGAAGTGGGTTTGCAGGTGAAGTCTGAGGTAAGACAGCAGAACAGTAGTTAACCCCACAGTCACCAGGAGCCTTTGGGGACATCATACTGTGGCCCAGAACTGACGGGTTTCATAAGATTCTTTTGCCAAACTCAGCCTTCAGCAATGTTTTTCCTTGTTCACTATTTATGGAACAAGACTACAAGAGGAATGCTTCTGCTAAATATCCTCACAAAATTTGGTGACAGTCCACATATGGAATGAAATTGTTCAATTTTAATTTTTTGTTTTTTTGTTGAGGAGTTGTTCTACTTTGAAAAGTCCCTTTGGTTTCTGAAACAGACACTCTCTCCAGAACAAGTAAGGAGGCTTAATGTCCCACCTGCATATTTTCCTACAGTTTCTGTCAGAAGTGAATGTGAGTGTCAAGGTCTTCAGCCTTATAATGGTCTAAATCTGTTTTCTTGCCAAATGTCTGTCTGCAGTATCGAAGCACAAAATAAATTGGTGCGTGCCAACATGCCGTGATTGTGAGAAATAAAAAAAGATTGCAGTTTATCAGTCTTGATTAGTAGGATTAAAATAAGCACAACCCACCTTGTCATTTGATTCATTCATTGAAAAATATAGATAGCTGCTGTGTGTATGTGTACATTAAACTCAAGAGTCTGCTTGGCCCTATTATTTTACAGTTAAGTAAATGTGAATTAGCTTATATGGCTCAACTTTAAAACAGTCTTGGAAACCCAGATTTTTCAGGGGTTTGGTGGGAATGGAGTCCTCTGTGTGGTTGATGTGTGGGTATATTTTTCCCATATGAGTTGTAATGGGCTCACCCTGGGAGATTGAAGGGTGGTGGATGCAGTCAGATTTAACATCTGGGGGCAAAGTGCCCAGTAATCCCTTCAAAGTAGAAATTGTGAAATCTGTTTTGACAGCTGTGGAAACTGAGGCTCAGAGAGATTAAATAACATCTGTGTGGCCTTCAGAAATGTAGATGTTGGAGTCAGGATTTGAACCCAGGCATTTCTCTGAGTTCAGAGTGAGGAGTGGAGATGTCTCTTCCCAAACTCTTTGTCCTTTGACTGACCCCTGGCCCACCTGCCATTTCCTCCATTCCTGGGTCTTAGGCTGGCCAGGCATCAGGGCTTCACCTAGGCTCCTGGGACTGTGTCAAACCCTTGGAGGCCTCTGCTCCCTTCCTGTTTTTGTTCCTCTGAAGGACAGGGCTTATGGCCAGCAGGAGAGCAACCCAGAGGGTATCAGGGCTCCACCACCTGGCCCCTTAAATGTGAGTCTGTGACCTTGGCTCAGCTCCAAGGTGGAGTTCCAGTTGTCAAGCCAAGAAGTTCTGGGTGGTTTCCAGAGAGAAAGGTGATCCGTAATAGGACTGCTGTGGATTAATAGGAGAAGATGGTGTGAATGAAGGGAAGTCCTGGTGTGTGCACGATGCAGGGTTTATTTCACTGAAGGGAAAGATGTTACTTTTGTTTCTCAAGAAAGCTGGGCCCATATGGAATCTGATTTGGGGGGTTTGAAAGTACTGGTTCTCCCAGGAGGTATTCATTCCTTTATTATTCATTCATTCACTCAACAGATATTTTTTGAGCTCTCACTCAGTACCAGGTTCTGTGTCCAGGTCTGATAATAAGATACAGAACAAGACAAAGTCTGTGCTTATGTGGTGCCACCATTTTAGGCAGGAAAATGAACAAGTCAGTATATAATATAGATAAGCAATTACAGGTAGTGGCGAAGCCTGAGAATGATGGAGGCAAGTGGAAGAGAAGCCTGTTGAGGTAGGAGGGGGTCAAGGAAGGACTCAACATGGAAAAAGTT